CTGATAAAGTACTGAGCTGCAGTGTTCTATAGCTGAGACCCACAGCATTTTTTGAAATAATAGCAATAACAATAATAATAATAATAATAATAATAATAATAATAATAATAATAATGTTGAAAGGGATCTTGGAGGTCATCTAGTCCAACCCCCTACTCAGGCAGGAAACCGTATATCATTTCAGACAAATGGCTGTCTAGTCTCTTCTTAAAAACTTCCAGTGTTGGAGCATTCACTGCTTCTGGAGGCAGGTTGTTCCACTGGTTAATTGTTCTAACCGTCAGGAAGTTTCTCCTTAGTTCTAGGTTGCTTCTCTTCTTGATTAGTTTCCATCCATTGCTTCTTGTCCTGTCTTCAGGCGCTTTGGAGAATAGCTTGACTCCCTCTTCTTTGTGGCAGCCCCTGAGATATTGGAACACAGCTATCATGTCCCCCCTCGTCCTTCTCTTCATTAAACTAAACATACTCAATTCCAGCAACCGTTCCTTATACTTTCTATTAAATAATACGGAAATGAGATGTTATTTAATGTTAAAATTAAATAAGAGGCTGCTGCTTGGCTTTCAGTTTGTTAGCCATTCCCTGTAATTTGTTTTAAAAAATAAAGACCTAAACCCAAAACATGGCAGAAAGAGTAGGAGAGAGACATCTAAGCGCTTTGGTGCCTATGGGTGATCTCTTGAGGATCGCAGTTCCTGTAGACTGTGCAAAGCGATTGACTGACATTTTATAAACTACAGATAGTCCTCAATGACCATAGTTGAGCCCAAAATTTATGTTGTTAAGTGAGAAACTTATTAAGTGAGTTTTGCCCCATTTTACAACTTTTCTCACCACATTTGTTAAGTGAATCACTGCAGTTCTTAAATTAGCAACACAGCTATTAAGTGAATCTGGATTCCCCATTGACTTTGCCTGTCAGAAGTTTGCAAAATGGGATCACATGACTCTGGGACACTGCGACCGTCATAAATGAGAGTCAGCTGTCAAGCTTCCGAATGTAAATCATGTGACCATGGGGATGGAACAATAGTCATAAGTGTGAAAAATGGATATATGTCACTTTTTTTCAGGGCCTCTGTAACTTCCAACGGTCACTAAATGAACTGTTGCAAGTTGAGGACTGCCTGTAATGGAGGAGGAAAAATCATGCAGAACACTATAATGTTTAATTCTTAAAGTTAAATTCTGCATTATTTCACATTGGTTTCATGTTCAGATAGGATCTAGCTAAGAAGCAAATGCATGGCTACCATTAACTAGAAACCATGACTCTGAATTGAAGCAAGGAGTGCTGAAGGGTGTGCCCACACAGGCATGTTATTGCAACACTCCCAGGCACTGGGAGGAATATGATAAGAATGCACCAAGGAACATGTATTTGCAAAGCAGCCTGTGTCGACCAGCATCACTGCCTTTGGCAGGAGCGCAAGCAACCACTGCTTTGCCCACAAACTGGGAAATGTGACTCATCATTTTGTTCCTCTATCAGGTGTCTGTTGCAAAGGGGACTCTGAATCAGACTTCCTGGCTGACATATTTGAAGGCCAATCTCCAAAAGACACATCTAGAACAGGAAGGCAGTTCCTTAGGCGACAGGAAAACTAAGTGCGTTATTTGCAGTCCAGCTGCCCAAATTCAGTTTCATTGTTACTGCTTAAAAAAGAAACTACAAAGAGAAATCAGAGAGGCAAAGTCTGCAATTCTGTTTCTTCTTTAATTAGAAATGGGTGTTTGGCCTCAGCAAATCAGGCATTCAAGGTTACGATATACCACGTTGTGCCAGCTAGCTGTCAGTGACTGCTGTCTGAGAAGAATTCTCACCTCTTGAAAAGGGAGATGAAACTGTCTGCCTATGAAGGATTCTTCCCATGTAGGAATTCAGGGCAGCAACAGCTTTACTCTTGCCTGGATCTTGTCCTTTTAATTAGAACATGGATTACTATAAAAACTAAATGTCTTGCTGCTCAACGATTTCTAACCTATTTGTTTCTTATTTTTCAAACTTCTGGTTTAGCATAGAGTTTGCTTTTCTGCAATCCAGTTCCAAAAAGGTGATGGTGGCAGCAAAAAGATTAATAAATAGAATAGAATTCTTTAATGGCCAAGTATGATTGGACTCCTACAAGGAATTTGTCTCCGGTACATAAGCTCTCAATGTACATACAAACAACAAGTGATCATCTTAATCATAAAATATAATCATAAATCATAGATACAACACTCAGTGATAGTCATAGGATACCAAAACAATCGAAATAAATCATAATAAGATACTAAATAAAAGCAAACCACATAAATCATGAGATACAACAAGTTATAGTCATAAGAATCTAAGGAAATAGGTAATAGGATAGATGACAAAGATAATAAGTAATACAGCCCTACTAGGTGGTTTGACATCTGGGGCATAGACAGTGTTGTGGGAATTAGTTGTTTAACAGATTGATAGCATGAGGGGGAAACTATCTCTGTGTCCAGTTGTTTTGGCGTGCAGTGCCTATAGCATCAAGGGAAGAAGTTGAAACAGTTTATGTCCAGGATGTGAGGGGTTTGTAGATATTTTCACAGCCTTCTTTCTGGCTCATGCATTATACAGGTCCTCAGTGGAAGGCAGGCTGGTTGCAATTATTTTTTCTGTAGTTGTAACTGTCCATCGAAGTCTGTGTCTGTCTTGTTTGGATGCTGTGCCAAACCAGATAGTTATAGAGGTGCAAATGGCAGGCTCAATAATTCTTTTATAGAATTGTGTCAGCAGCTCCTTGGGAAGTCTGAGTTTTCTAAGTTGGCACAGGAAGAACATTCTTTGTTGTGCTTTTTTGATGATATTTTTTATGTTAGGTGTCCATTTTAAGTCCTGAGATGATGATGATGATGATGATGATATTGTTGTTGTTATTGTTATTGTTTTGGAGGAGATCTTGGAGGTCTTCAGTCAGGAAACCCTATACCATTTCAGACAAATGGTTGTCCAGTCTTTTCTTAAAAACTTCCAGTGTTGCAGCATTCACAACTTCTGGAGGAAGGTTGTTCCAACTTCTGGAGGCAGATTGTCATAGAACCTAAAAACTTGAAAGTCTCTAACTGTTAGTATTATGTTGTCTAGTATTGTAAAAGGTGGTAGAATAGGAGGGCTTCTTCTAAAATCTGCTATCATCTCTACCGTTCTGAGTGTGTTCTATTCAAGATTGTTCCGGCCACCCCACGAGGCCAGTTGGTTCAACTTCCCATCTGTATGCAGATTCATCATAGTCTCAAATGAGATCAATCACTGTTGTGTCATCTGCAAACTTCAGTACTTTAACAGAGGGATCCTTTGAAAATGCAGTGGTTGATATAGAGCAGAGGTGTCAAACTTGCAACATCAAGTGACATGTCGCGACGTATCGTGACTTTTTTGCCATTGCCGGCAATGGGGTGTGTGCAGTTATGCTATGATGCATTCAGCCCGTGGGCCGCCAGTTTGACACCCCTGCTATAGAGAGAAAAGAGTAATGGAGAGAGCACACAGCCCTAGGGGGCACCTGTGCTAATTGTGCAGGTATTTGATATGATTATGCCTAGCTTCACCTGCTGCTTCCTATCTGTTCCAAACCTTCACCATCATCTAAAGATAGCACTAACCAATATTTTGTGAAATTATTACACATTGAAATACAAACTGGATAACCATGGAAGTTGAGCAGATGAAGGCAAAGTGTCTTTTTTTATCCCTTCATAGCGTAACCACGTTAGTGCCTACCTAGATAATTCTGGCACAAGGAATGTTACAATTATGGAACTGTTCCAGTTTAATGGCATTATGGAAAATGAACTCATTCAACTTAAACATTAGAGAGACAAATTCCTTGCTTTGTTAAACAGGTGAATGGTTACTCCATAAGATGGGGTCACTGCTTAAAAGAAACCCTTTCGTTGGTAATTTTCATACCTCATTAGGGAAACCCTCAGAGGATGATCTTATGGCTTGGGCACAGTCTTTGGGATTCTCTGTAGTCAGCCATAAAGAGTTAAAGAACCAGAGCTTTGAATGAAAGCCAACAGAAGTAATGAAATACTCCTATGATATGATTCCAGTCTTACTGCTCATGGGTCTGAAAATCCAACGCTCTTGATGCAATCTTGTCTCTAGCACTGATGATGTTAGCTAGTTTGGGAAATGAAACATCTGCAAGAAAACAAGCAAGCTCAGAGAGCACCAAGGACCTCTCATTTCAACCCTGAGCTACAAATATTCTCCTTTATTGAAATCTTGTCTATGAACCAAAGGATTGAAAAAACATCCTCTCTCCTATGGCTATATTTCTAAAAGCGTAGAAATGCATTTAGTGGAAATTCGCCTAGTTTTTACTTATAGCTGTGACAATCCTTCAGCCTGAGGGTCTGGATGTTTATTTGCTTGTTTATGAATAATTAGAGGCTTTGGTCAGTTATGAATTAACTTTGGATAGAGCAATTAGCTTATTTGTGCTTTTGTCTGCCTGAAGAAGTACCGTATCTCTTTAATATCTCTCAGCTAGAGGGGTTGACCACAAACATTCTATAGATTGACCACAAGTGTCTCCTATATAGACTAGCTGATATGTTGTGGCTTTGACACTCATACTTTGCAAGCAAACCTGTTCCTGGAATCAAGGAAAGTGACGTGATATTTAGCTTAAACAGTCGTTAGGGGCTGTCTGGACAAGACTTGAGAGGTTAGCAAACTTTATCATCAGCATAGTAAAAAACATACTGATAGGTAGCCAGCTTATATAATAATGAATAGAACTAAATAATTAATGGGGTATTATGGGGTGGCTTTGCTTTGTGCACTGTCATGTAACTTTGTAACTGTTGTGTCCTGAACCTGCTGAGGTATTCAGCAGGCTCAGAAATGTTGCAAACGGTCCCGGGCAGACCAAAAGTTGCCCAGGACCAGACTGGCTGTCGACAGCCTTGAGCACATGCGCAAGGCATGAAAACAACCAGCTTCTAATTGGCTGACACTGTCCGGGTTCAGGACTCTATAAAAGGCCTGTGTGCCTTTTGGCTCTTGCTTGATTGTAAGGAGAAGATCAATAAAGAGATTACTTGTTCATCATGTGTCTTCGTTGAATGCCTAGGAACCGAATACATAAAACTGGCGACAAAGGTGGGATCCCTGCAAGCAAAAGAAACAAATAGGACTCACTGAGAAAGTCCTGAAGACTGGGAAGACGGTGTCCTGCATTCGCGACTCAGCCTGCCAGTATAGCATCGCTGGAGGTAAGCTCAGCAAAAGGACCCTTTCCCTAAATACTAGCTTGCAGAGGAAGCAATTAGCAAAGGCAGTAAATGTTTACGATGTCGAAAATTGGCCGCTTGATGGATTTTGATATCTCCCACCCAGAGAGATGGAATTCATACATAGCAAGGATGAAGAACTACTTTAGAGTGAATCAAATCAGGGAAGACAACCTGAAAGCGGCAACTCTTCTGTGCGCCTGTGGTCAGGAAGTATTCGACATTGCTGAAAATCTGGTGGCCCCTCCACTTCTGGAGTCAGTAACGTACGCTGACTTGAAGAAGATGCTGTAGGAACATTTCCAGCCTAAATTGTCTGTCATCGCTTGGAGGCACGTGTTTGAGCAGAGAGACCAGAGGCCGGGTGAATCTGCTGCGGACTTCATCACTGCCTTAAGACAAGCAGCCAGGCCTTGTGAGTTAAAGAACCTGGAAGAGAGGCTGCGAGATCGTTTCATGTGTGGCCTACGAAGTTGAAAACTGCAACAGAAGATCTTCGTAAAAGAAGAAGTATTGTTTCAAGATGCCTTAAGAGAGGTTGCAGCTGAAGAAGCAGCACGCGGTACTGTGAAGGCTTTGCGGTTCACCAGGAACCCTCCAGCCACCATGACCGTCCATCAAGAGGACGCTCGAGAAGATTCAGAAGCGGTTCCTGAAGAGGAGGTGGACAGACTTCACCAGCCAGCAGAAAGAAGGCCGAAGGTGTGTCCAGACAAGGCCCCAGCATCTCCTCAGTACTTCGGGTGTAGAGGATGCCACAAGCGAGCTGACTGCAGATTCTGCTCGGCCATTTGTTTGGATCACCAGAAGATCCAACCTCGGGAAGAGTTGCTTCAGAAAGGTACTAGGGTCCCCAGCTAACACAGGGTGGGTTTCTGCCCATCGCACAGGAGTATTTTGAGGACAGGGACACACAAGGCCCTTAAGAAAAAACTTCACATTGACGTGAAGTTGCAAGGGGTTCCCTTATCGATGGAGTTGGACACAGGGTCCGCTTTATCAATCATTTCACTTGACACCTTCAAAAAGATTTGCAGCAGTAGTGGCCTTCAGGTCAAACTCAGGCCATTAAATTTAATCCTCACTGACTTCCAGAATTCCAAAGTGTGAAAGGGGAGGCTTTTGAGGGCCTCCTAGATGTGGTGGTAGCTGGGGGTGAACGCAAAAGTCTTATTGGACTCGATTGGTTTGAGGCCCTGAGAATTCAAGTGACTGGGCTTCACAGCCTGCAAACGTTGGGCCTTGCAGAAGTCTGCAAGGAGTTTGCTGATGTGTTTATCTCAGAGCTTGGCTCCTACAAGGGGCCTCCCATTGCATTACGTTTAGACCCAACTATCACGCCCATCAGGATCAAGCCTAGAAGGGTGCCTTTTGCCCTCAAAAGCAAGATATATGCAGAACTGGACAAGCTGCTCCAGCAGGGCATCTTAGAACCTGTGGACTCTAGTCCATGGGAAACCCCCATTGTAATGCCTTTAAAGGCTAATGGAGAAGTCCGCATATGCGTAGACTATAAATGCACACTGAATAAAGCGTTGCAACAGCATGCATATCCAGTGCCTGTGGTAAGCCACATTCTGGCCTCCCTCAAAGGGGGGCGCCTTTTTGTAAAACTTGATTTGGCACAGGCTTCTCAACAGCTAACTATTGATGAGGCAACTGCAGAGGCCCAAACAATCGTAACACATAGAGGGGCCTTTAAGGTTAAAAGACTGCAGTTTGGGGTTAATGTAGCCCCTGGCATATTTCAAAGTGTCACGGAACGCACACTTCGTGGTATTCCTGGGGTCTGTCCCTACTTCAATGATGTCCTCATTCCTGGGGAGTCATCTCAAAATCTAGCAGAAAGATTAAGGGCTGTCTTGCTTCATTTCTGCCAAGCAGGCCTTAAATTGAAGCAAGACAAATGCAAAATAGGAGTCACTTCCACTGACTTCTTAGGCTTCAGAATTGATGCTCAAGGCATCCACCCTGCTGAATCCAAGCTTCAAGCGATTCAGCAGGCCCCAAGTCCCAAGTCCAAGAGTGAGCTGCAAGCTTTCTTGGGGCTCTTAAATTTCTATCACGCATTTCTCGCACATAAGGCTGCAGTGGCAGAGCCGTTACACTGGCTCTTAGATAAGCAGGCTCCATGGCAGTGGACTAAAGTCCATGAAAGGAGTTTCAATGAGGTTATGGCCTTGCTCTCTTCAAATGCTGTATTAGCGCATTTCAATGAGCAATTGCCTGTGTGCATTGCATGCAATGCATCTCCTTATGGGGTGGGAGCAGTACTTAGCCAACTGAAGGCTGATGGGACACAAGTCCCTGTAGCCTACTACTCAAGGACTCTGTCATCTGCAGAGCAGAATTACACTCAGATTGACAGAGATAGTAGCTGGCATAAAGAAATTCCATGATTTCTTATATGGCCACCACTTCACGGTCTACACATACCATAAGCCTCTGCTGGGTTTGTTTACAACTAACAAACAAACACCACACATTATTTCTCCACGTATGCTGAGGTGGTCAATTTTCCTGTCAGCATATGATTATACACTCATTCACAAACTTGGAAAAGAGATGGACCATGCAGACGGCCTCAGCAGATTACCTCTCAAACAAATAGATGCAGATCCTGCTCCTGCTATTATCATTCTTTCCATTCAGGAGTTGCCTGAATCTCCCCTCAATGCTAGGGACGTGGCTGCAGAAACTGCCACTGATCACACGCTCACACGCGTGCTGACATGGGTCTTGTCAGGATGGCCTGACACATGTCCAAATACGGAATTTCAAAGCTTCTGGCAAAGGAAGCACGAGCTTTCTACATTCAAAGGGTGCCTGTTATGGGATAGTAGGGTAGTCATCCCAGCCTCATTGAGGTCTAGAGTCTTGCTCTCTCTGCATGAGGGACATCCAGGAATAGTAAGGATGAAAGCATTTGCACGCAGCCATCTCTGGTGGCCTGGGCTCGATAAAGACATTGAGGCCCAGGTGCATGGGTGCCAAGTATGCCAACAGTCACAGCCTGAAATGCCTCAGGCCCCAGTACATAGGTGGGAGGAAACACAAACCCCTTGGTCAAGGGTACATATAGATTACACTGGGCCCTTTCAGGGGCAATTCTTCCTTCTCCTCATTGACAGCCATTCCAAGTGGCTAGAGGTTGTTCCTGTTTCTTCCACTACTACTGCCAGGACCATCCAGATGTTGACAGGAATTTTCACCTCACATAGACTTCCAGATGTCCTGGTTTCAGATAATGGCCCCCAATTTACCTCTTTTGAGTTCCAGACTTTTCTTCAAAACAACTTGATCTGGCTTGCGATGTCTGCTCTCTTCCATCCATCTTCCAACGGCCAAGCAGAGAGGATGGTGCGCACTACCAAAGATGTTCTCAAGTAACTGGCATCACAGGTTAGCAGATTTCCTTCTTGCACACTGCACCACACCTTGCACAGCCACAGGGAAGAGCTCAGCAGAACTCCTCTGGGATCGCCGCCTCATCACCAAACTGGACAGGTTGAACCCAGACCGGGTGGCTTCACAGGTGTCACAGCCATGGGCACCTAGGAGACTTCAGGTGGGCAATCCAGTCTGGGCAAGAAACTATGGGCCTGGACATCTCTAGGTCACAGCAGTAGTATGCAAGGTCTCTGGGCTGCTGTCATATGAAGTGGCCTTAGATGATGGATGTGTCATCCGCAGACACATTGATCAACTGCGCTGGAGGCTGAACAGCCACACTTCCGCTCCTGGCTCTGCTCTGGGGGGTGGGGAGGACCATAATCGGCATTCTGGTTCACAGTTTCCCAGTTCTAGTAGTGTCTCACAAACTGCTGAGACTGTCGCTGAGGCTCTTCAGGGGTCATCTTAAGGTTCCGCAAGTGTTCCAAACTGGAATTCTCCATGAAGGGGGTCATCCCGCACATCAGTTATTGCTCCAGACAGGGAGTCGCACCGGGGGTATCCACACAATTCAACTACAGCCCCAGACAGGGAATTTCACCAGGGGCATTCATACAGTTCAGCTATTGCTCTGAACAGGAAGTCTCCAGAAAGGGGATTTGCCATGACTCTGGCATCTCCGGCACATATACGGGGGCTATGGGGTACTGGGGCACTTCCGTCACTCAAGCCACTCCAGCTGCTGGTTTTGGGCTCGAGGGACAGTGCTCCCAAGAGAGGTCCATTGTGGACTTGGGGAATTCCACCCCTCCATTGGACTTGGAGAATTCTACCCCCCCAAGGAACTCTGGCTTGGATTCAGAGAATCCAGCCAGTCAGCAGCTGGGTGGGTCACCTGGGTCCTTGGGGCACAAAAGTCCTGGTCTGCCTAGCCTGGCAAGGGAGCAGGTAGGCCAGGCACACTCACTGGCCATTAGAAGGTCACAGCAGGCCAAGTGCCCACCCAAACATCTTGGAGACTATGTGAGGTTTCTGTCAATGCAAAGGGAACCTTGCTGGTCTGGAACAGGATGCTGACTAACACTCAGTACAGAGTGTTAGCTACAATATATGATTGTGGGTGTATTTTTGTTTAGTTAAAATAATTATTGTGTACACGTGCTCTGCCTGTGTGCAGGCCATTGTAACTCCACTATTCCCTGCCCCTTGAACAAATGTAACTGTGTGTACAGCTAAGGTGTGTTTTATCTAGGGGGGAGAGGTGTTGTGTCCTGAGCCTGCTGAAGTATTCAGCAGGCTCAGAAATGTTGCAAACAGTCTCGGGCAGACCAAAAGCTGCCCAGGACCAGACTGGCTCTTGCCAGTCTTGTGCGCGTGCGTAAGGCGCAAAAACAGCCAGCTTCTTATTGGCTGATACCGTCCAGGTTCAGGACTCTATAAAAGGCCTGCGTGCCTTTTGGTTCTTGCTTGGTTGTAAGGAGAAAATCAATAAAGAGATTACTTGTTCATCATGTGTCTTCGTCTAATGCCTAAGAACCGAATACATAAAAGTAACCAATCAGCAATTCTGTTATTTTTGTTTCCTGCAGTCAATTGTATAAATATAACTGCCTGATTTCTGGTGCATCCCTTAGGTGTGAAACCCAAAGGGGTCCTCTTCTGCCCATTTCCTGTGTGAAGATTGGCTTCTTCAAACCAGGTTCCCATATCTTGCCAACCTTCTGTCCAACAAATGTTCCTGCTTGGTAGAAAAAATGGATCCATTTCATAAACTGATAGGCCATTACAGCTTGTTCAACAATTAGTTCTTAAGCACGACATGTAAACACTGAAGAACAAGAGGAGAAAATGGAAAACCAGGTTTGTTAAGAACTTGTATGAGTTAAATAACAAGATGAGCAGTCAACATATATTGATTAATTATGTGTTATTGTGTTGGGTTGACTCTTAGCATCCTTATAGATACATTCTCTGCAGGACAATCTGTCTCCAACCAGGCCTTTCAGATTTTCTAAGGGTGCACCCATTGCTGCTGTAGCTGAATCCATCTACCTTGCTGCTTATTAACTTCTTTTTCTCTCTCTCTAACCACCTTTCCCAACATTGCAGACTTCTGCAGAGAGTAGGATCTAGGCATAAAGTATCCAAAATATGATAAGTACACATAATATCTGCAACTGAAGCATTTTCGGCAACCCCTGCTTCAGGTCAACAAAGAAGCGGCAGAGAAAAGCCTTCATTGATACATAATCCAATAATAGGAAAAGTACGTTCCAGAAGCCAAAAGAAGTGCATTGCAATTTTCATTTGAGCCATTTTGTACTTTTGTATCTGTTGAAATCACCCAAAGGTCTTTCCCATCAGGCCACGCCATTTTGACAATTGGCCATGTTACTTTTAAGGCAGTTGAGTAGTCACAGTCTTAGTTAAATGTTACAGAGCTGGTTGTTCAAGGCCTCCTTTGAGTAGAAACAGAGATAGCAAGGACTATTTCGTGATTAGATCTTGCTATTACTGGTAAAATACAGCCAGCTCACTTTTCACGCCCAATATCAGTAGTGATTCATGTCCGATGATGAATCATGTATCATCAAGGATTTTATAGAAAAAAGATACAGTTAGCCAGAGGCTGATCTGCAAATCTCTAAATGCTCATGTTAATGGCTAGAGGCTGCTATTCACTTCATTGCCCTTGACCTCATGGAATTGTACCCACATGTCTTGCATAGGTGCCCTTTGGCGAAACAAGAAATCTAGAGGTTTTTGGAATGATAAGTTTTTACATTGTGACTTAAGTTTGTCCAGTACCTATTCACTCCTGAGACCAAGGTAAGACTTTCATTTCAACCATTTAGGGATAAAATTAAGTTGCAAAGTAAATCTGCATTTTAGACTATAATTATTGCAAACATGTAATTTTAATTATTCCTGCTAAACTCCAAAGAATTCTGAAAACTGAAATATGGCAAAGATAGTATGAGTGTGCAGTATTGGTAAAACACAATGTCACATTTTAAAAAAAAAGTATACTGTGAACCAAATATATAATAGAAATTTATTAAAGACCATTATTCACAGGCATTACATTTGACTATATACTAAAGATTTAAGCAGTCACAGCTCAAAAGATCTTGAGTCCATGGGAATTGGGGTATTTGGTTCCAGAGTCTGTACTCATATTCATCTTCCCAAGAAACAGTAACCATAACAATTTCATGTTTGTTGCCTTTTGTCCTTTAAATTTGCCACCTCTCTTTTTCTGAGGAACTCATCAATGTCATTCAACCATGACATTAATTAGTGGATTAGTGGATTGTGGACCACTAACCATTGACCATAAAACTGAGTGACCAGGATAAAAGAAATGTATTGAATTGTTTCATCACATAGATATAATGAATGTATGTAATAAAATATGTAATGAAACAATTCAAGGTGTTCCTGGCCAATCCACGTTAATTCAGCACTCATTCATTCTTTCATTCACTCATTCATTCATTTATTCTTGATCTTTTTTACCACAGACAATTCTTAAGCATTTTCACTGCATTCAATTTATTTCTTTGTACCTTCTGACTCAAATATGACTACTTTCTTTAGTTTTTCATTTTGCTTAAGTTTGCGATCATTCCTTCCATTTTCCTTTTCATGCACAACTCCCTTGGTTCTTCATACATTAATTAGAATGAGGTTTGCATTGTGCAACTCCATCTATCATCTTGCCAATTCCCCCCTCCTGCTCCAGTGATACTTCCCGTTCACATTTTCACATTCTCTCACATTTTTCCTTTATTTGTTAATTCATGCTCTTTACCATTTACTTCTGTTATATTTGTAATCACAAGGATTGCCCAAGGATCAGCATGCCCAAGGACCAATGGCAGATGGTCCCATGAGTATAGATCTCTACTATCCATCATGGCCTTAGTCAATCAATGCTCTCACATTACATTTTAGTAGTAAACCTAAGGCATAGACTGAGATTATTAGCCTTACCAATATTCACAGCTCATAAACCACTGATTGTAAGTATAGTAGAGTTAAGTTTGACACATTTTAGCCAGCTGCAACCGAAGTGCACTTTTATCCCAAGCAAAATCTTCTATGCCAAGTGGCTCCCTTACCTAGATATTACCTTGGAAGTCAATCTACTTTTCTATGCACCTCATCAAACTGGAAGAAACCTGTGTTATAAGAAAAAAATAAGAAGTTGTTAATCCCCAACTTTGAAAGTCACATTGAGCTGAAGCTGAAAATTATATGCCTCAAGCTGTCTATTCACTTAGTTGCCTTGCCCTGTTAACACACCCAAAAATTATGTCATGAATAGCACATCTAAAGCCTACAGAAATGCTATACTTCAGGGTACATATTGGCTAGGCCAGAATGGAACAGAGACTCTAGATCAGCGGTTCTCAACCTATGGGTCACGACCCCATTTGGAGTCAAACGACCATTTAACGGGGGTCGCCAAACAACACGATCCGCCATTTTTCCCCCTCAGGGGGCGGCGGCACACATGCGCACCGCACATGGGGGCGGCACGCATGCGCGCCATGCATGGGGTGGTGCCGTGCATGCGCAGCACGCATGGGGTGGCGCCACGCATGCGCAGGGGCGGCACATCCGTGTGACGGGGGTCGCCGTCACACAAAGGTTGAGAACCGCTGCTCTAGATAGCTTTGGGCAAGCTTGGTTTTTTTTTTACCTCTTGCCCAAATTTCACTGCAACTACAAATTAGTGCTAACTTATTTCATAGGGTGGTAAGAACAAATAATAGTAATTGTAAAATATTTGGACCAAGCTTATAATGTAAAATTATCATTTTGAGATTTAAGCAGTCCCATTCTACAACACTTAAAAGAAAGAGTATGTTTCATATGCATTTTTTTAACCTGACCCTTCAGCACTGAGAAAGTATTTATTTTGAATTCATTATAATGAAAGCATAAGTTTTGTTTTCTGATCTGCAACATTCCATGCTTTATTTTCCTTCTAGGGTCTCTACTTTCTCCCATCAGCAAAATCAGAGGCCTGTGTAAGCTACACGAGGAGCCAGAAAAAGAAATGTCTCCACCTGATAAATTGTTAGTCGTGAATATACACAATTAATCTGATTTGTTTTAACTGGCAGATTTAACATTTAAGACGTTTATGCATGTGAAAGCTTGGTCCAAGAGATTTTGTTCCACCCAAGTCAAATTGCATAATGATCAAGTTATTAAAAAAAGAAAAAAACCCAACCCACAAATGTCTTTTTTTAAAAAAAAATCCTTGGTGTAAAATAACATAATAACTAATTGCTAATTAGCTACCCTTTACTAATGCCCCATATTCACTATCTGGGAATTAGTTCATTCTGCCCCATGGTTGAACTGACTCCACTGTGTGCAGGACCCTTTTCATGCTTAATGTAGTCATTATGATGATGGGTGGTTTACCTACAGCCACTATGTATTTTAATGTTGTGTTATTTTAATTGCTTTTATTTTTAAAAAATGTTGTTCACCACTCAGAGTCACTTGGTGAGATGGGTGGCCAGATGCAAAATAAAAAAAAATAAATTCTAAAGTTGCAATATTGCTAAATAAGCCTCCTCTAATAAACCTAGATCAGGCTATAGGGCAGTGGTGGTGAACCTATGGCACGTGTGCCAGGGGCGGCATTCGGAGCCCTCTCTGTGGGCACACGTGCCATCGCCCCAGCCCCGCCTCCCCCTGCAGCCCCCTCCTCTCCAGCAGCCCACCTGGAGGAGAATCGCCCCCAGGCGCGGCCTGCACGGAGCAGCGCAGCCAAGGACATAGCCGGGCAGCAGGGACAAGACTCCGCCCTTGAGCTCCATAGCGTGCAGATGATGCTGTGGGTGTGGGCGGAAGGCGTGGCTGCCATGGTGCTGCAGGGCTGCCTGGGTGGTCTGCTACAGCGGGCCATTGAGGTAGTGCATGGGCCTGTGGGTGGGTGGAGCAGGGGGCGGGCAGGGATGGAGCAGGCAGGGTGGGAGGCGGAGCGGGGCAGGGAGCGGGTTTGGGGCACTTGGTCTCTAAAAGGTTCGCCATCACTGCTATAAGGCTTGTGATCCTCCATCTTGCTGCCATAGAAAAGAGAGCAACAGCTGTTCAATCAAGGACATTCAAGAAAACAGCCAATTCCGAAGCAGTCTGCTAGTTATAAACTGTACCTGGAGGAAATCAAGTTGGAGAAGTGTAAGAGCATTGTAACAATTTATTTCTAACAGCGCATTGTTCTACCAATACATAACTCCTCCAATGTTTTCTTTATGGCGCACCTCTACTCAAGGTCCTTTGTTGAACTATAGACTGTCCAATGAGGAAGTGCTATGAAGAACAAGAGAACAAAATTAGGCTATGTGGCAGTTTAATCTTGTCTCCCCAATCTCCCTTAAAAAGAAATGTCATGATCTAAATTGTGGAACATGGAACAGCTGTGTCAGGAAACAGAAGTCATTCTGATTTCCTCTCAGCCATTTTTAGACTATGTTACAACTTACTCTGATGATGTTCCAGAGGAGAGCCCTCTGCAGAACTGCTTGGAGACAGGGACAAAACTTCTCTTTAAAAATGCTTACATCTTTCAACACAGTAACAGTAACATAGTTTGCAAAGAAGCAATGATTACACAGTACAGTAATTACGACAAGCATCAGAAAGCTGAAGAGAAAATGCAGATGGTGGTAACAAAAGGTCACAATGGAATTTTTATCTCCTTCTGGAATCTTGCTGTGCTGGTTGCGTTATTATTTGTGTAAATCAAGTGAATGCAGATTTTCACAGAACAGAGTCCAACTAAGTGGGTCTTTCCAGTGAGTTGATTTGATACGATTTGACTATTTTAATGAAAATGGTTAAGGTCTCCTTTACATTGAACATGACTCCTGGTAACTTCATGGACACATTTGTGAACATGTAGTTTCCTTGAAACCAAATGGAGTTTGCAGGAGCATCCTGGAAAATTATTCTAGAACACGTACATTTGCCATTAGCCTCTTTCAGATTTTTTTTTAACTGCCTGATCTAACCTATAATCTTGAAATTTCCTGGTGGTCTCGATATTGTCATTGCCAGGCTTGGGGCCTTTTCTATTGTATTTCAGTAATTGTTGCTTTTGGACTAGCTTTTCTATCACAGTAGCACATGCTATGTGTGAGTATATTAAGTGGTAAATCCCTACCTCAAAGGACAAAGGTAGACAATGTGTTGATTTCTAGATTTGTTAAACTTCGTTTCCCATCATCCCTGTTCATTGGTTACAACCGTCTAGAGTTGATAGAGTTCAATGTCATCTGGAGAATGACATGTTCCCCGTCCTTTCATTATAATCCCATCACCACCCTGGCAGGCAAATTTGATGGCCTTGCCTATCTATAGTTCTGCCTCTTTTTGGCTTTAGCTGTTTGGGGATCAGAGTCCAAGGTGTATCCTTTGTGGAAATAGAAACAAATAGAGTATTATTTACTTTGTGCAGAGGAATGCTCATTCTTGCTTCCCAGTAACCTTTCCCCTAGGGCAGTGTTTCCCAAACTTGACAATTTTAAGGCATGTGGACTTCAATTCTGGGAGTTGAAGTCCTCATGCCTTAAAATTGTCAAGTTTGGGAAATACTGCCCTAGGAACACTCTTTTTATCTCCATTGATAGAAACAGTGCAAAATCATCCCTTCAAGGAAAATTGGAATAGGCAATTTTCTCTACCTACTGTACCTGCAGCCTACAATTACATTCCCAAGGAAGTGGCACTTAATAGATTGAAGGGTAACATTCTTGCAGACTCATTCTTTTCTTTCTGACTTTTCTTCTGTGACAACACGTAGGAGGTTTACAATGGAGTCATTGTGCTGATTGTACAAATTGAGCCTTGTTGGGGAAAATATAAATGGGGGGGGGATTTCAGTAAAACCAAGGAAATCAAAGGTTGAACTCAAGTAAGAATGACCTAATATGCAGTAGCATAAGCTAGACCTCAAGGTACAAATGCAGTTTCCCTGTATTACTGAGTTTAATTAGAAACTGCACATTTTTTTCTTCCCATTCAGCCCTCTTCTCCTATTTTATAGGACATCAGCTAATACATTTCTGGGATGCATATCATGCATATGCATGTATTATCCTAAAAATGTTCATCGTGGGTATTCCCCAAATATGCATTAAGGACTGCAGGTATCCTCAGAATAGCTTTTGTTCAGCATTCACTTTGGATATTTAAGGAAGCTGTGCAAAGAGTCTGCTAGAATCAGACCTGAAAACTCTCACATCACACGGGTGACAAAGGGAGAGAGCAGGGCCCTGATGAGCAAACAAAGGCAAAATGTAGAGAACTTGGGCAAGAAGCGGAAATTATAATTAATGACAATAAACGATTATTTTGACCAAGTGGAAATTCTTTGGCTGACTTGAAATTGTTTGATACAGTGGAATGATTTCTTTAAAAAAAAAAAGAAACAATTAAAAAAATTCAGATAACTTATTTCATTTCAGACATTACCTTTATTTATTGATTTAATAATTTACATTTATTTTGTACATTAATTTCACAGTATTGGGATATGGGACTGTTGTGGTTTCCACAATTTCAGTTTTCCTCCAAGATTGCATTTGGTTGCAATCAATCTTTTTTCTTCATGACCTGCTCCTTGCCAGCAATTGTCAGTTATTTCCTTAGCTCAATGTGTGTTGGAGAAGAGCAAGCAGAACCGGGAGGGAGGGAAGGGTGGAGGGTTAAGTGTGACATCAGCTTAGAGCAGGGACTGCCAAACTTGGCAAATTTTGGACTTGTGGACTTCAACTCCCAGCCAGCTGAGAAATTCTGGAAGTTGAAATCCACAAGCCTTAAATTTGCCAAGTCTGGAGACCCCTGACTTAAGAATCCTTGCATTCCCAGAAGTGGTCCAAATCCAACTTCTTCTGAATTCTGTTGACCCTTATGTGGTGCCAATTTAGTGTTGAACTTTAGTTGATTAGATTCTTGTGTATAGACTTAAATAAATCTAGGCAGCAATCCAATGGATGGTCCTGATTCTTCTCAGCTGATAAATGTGGTAGACTTTTCTTCCCTGTTGATTGACAGTGCTAAAGATCCTTTGCTTCACATCTTCATGCAAGTGTTCCATCAAGCTTAAGGCCTTTCTATTCAGTCCTTTAAAAAAAATATTTCTGGAGAGAAGGCTTATACCAATCCTTCCTCCCTCCAATTATTGATGCCATTCCTTGAGTTGTCGCCTATATTTAAAAGGAAATGGCAGAAATTCGTCAGTATATATTTCCTCCCCAGTAATTCAGCAATATATTGGTGAAAGCACATGTAAGCTTTTTTCATCACAAGCACAAAAATCTAATGCAGGGTTCTTATAACAGCTGCAAGATTATTGGTGGGGCAATATTGGAAGAAAAACTCATTGCCTACTTTGGAAGAATGGATACTTAAGGTGTCTAATTTAGCAGAAATGGAGAAAATCTCCGCCTATTTGAAGGACCATTCACAAGAAAAATATATTTCGGTCTGGAGAAGATGGATTGATTATATTCAAAAGAAATATGAGACTGAAAAGTATTATCTTGCTTATGGGTAGATTTTAGATTATTATTAATAGTTTAATATGGTTGAATTTATATTATTTTTAGTGTTATGGTTTAATTATATTATTATTTTTGTTTTTAATTAGTTAACATTTGTTTTGAAAAGGAGTTAAAGTATGTTATAGATTGATTGATAGTATAGTCGGGTAATGTTTGTTAGATTATGATTGTTTATTTGTTACCCTTTAATCAGCTCTGGGAAGTGGGGGAGGGGGGAAGGGGTGGGAGGGGTTTGGGTTATATTGTATTAAATTTGTAAAACTTTTTTTAAAAAAATCTAATGCAGGGTGTCAAGCTCGCAACGTCATGTGATGTGTCGTAACGTATCGTGATTTTTTTGCCATTGCCGGCAATGGGGTAGGTGCGGTTTTGCTATGAGGCATCCAGCCCGCAGGCCGGCAGTTTGACACCCCTGATCTAATGGAACAACTCTGGAGAGCTTTTCACTTTATATCCTATGTTAATAATACACTTAGCATTTACAATCGCTTCTAAAGTGAGGTGCATTAGTAAAGCAAGAGTCACTCTCTTTAAGAAACTACGGTCTATTCCTAGTCCCATATATTCTGTGCCCTGTGTCAGTCAATATGCAGATGGAAGAACTATTGAACTTACGCACTGCATAATCCTAGACATGTTCATTCATTGGTCCCACTATGTTCGATACATATTCCTCCTTAGTACAGGTAGCCCTTGTATAAGGATCACAACTGGAACTGATAATTCAGTGATTAAGTGTAGCAATCACTAAATCAGTGGTTCTCAACCTGTGGGTCGGGACCCCATTTGGGGTCGAACGACCATTTCACGGGGGTCGCCAAACAACGCAGTCCGCCATTTTTCCCCCCCTCTTTTCCTTAGCTGTGCTACTCCCTTTGATTCTATTGGCTTTTGAAAGCCAATAGAATAGACTCTCTTGAATAGAGTCTAATTCTATTGGCTTTCAAAAGCCAATAGGAATTGTCCAGGCTGTCTCTGCCCTGCTGAGCCCACCAAAACTCCCATTCTGCAAACGGGGCTGCACCAGTTGAGTCGTCCTCGACTTACGACCGGTTGAGTAGTCCTTGACTTACGACCGGTTGGGGATCGCGGCATTAAAAAGGTTGAGAACCACTGCACTAAATGAAACTGTGACTGTAGAGCAGTGATGGCAAACCTTTTAGAGACCGAGTGCCCAAACTGCAACCCAAAACCCACTTATGCATCATCGGGTGCCAGGTGGGTGTGGCCCATGGGCTGGGTGTGGCCAATTGGGTGGGTGTGGCCCATTGGGTGGGTGTGGCTGCAGTGGTAATGGCAGACTGGGTGGGACTAAAAAGTTCAATCAATCAATTCCAACTTTGCAAGATATTTTTTTCCCCGCGAGAAGTTGAAATTGACTGATTGATTGAACCATTTTTTTTTTGCACACGGCAGCGGAGGCCTAAAGCGAAAAGGTTTTATAAAACCCAGCTGAAGGCCTAGGACTGGGGCGACGGCACGTGTGCCCACAGAGAGGGCTCTGAGTGCTGCCTCTGGCACCCGTGCCATAGGTTCGCCACCACTGCTGTAGAGCTTCCCTTTGCTTTGCAGATCTACAAAGGTTGTAAATGTGAGGATGGGTTTCAAAGTGATAGTTCATCACCTTCTCACATTCTCCACCGTGACTTTTGTCGTTTTTGCAAAAAAAGGGGAAAAATGGTAATTTTTGCTATCAGATATGGATGATATAATCTCGAGATCCTCTGGGGTCCACAAACTAGAGTTTGGAGAAATGCTTAGAACCTTTTTAGCCCTGGGTTCCCACTCGGATATTATAAATCTGCTGCAGTGCCAAGTGTTTATTGATCAGATTAAAAATATGGAGGGGGGAATTATTCTAACCATAAGCAGTTTAAGATATTTTTTTAAAAAAAAAAAAATAACATCATTTTAAAGCATGCAATAAAGAAGGACTTCATAGCACCAGGGACTGCAGGGAAAAACTACCAGCGTCAGCAGAAAGAGAGTTTCTCCAAGAAAAAACTGAAGACATTTGGGAACATCTGGTAAAAAGAAGCAATGTCTTTGATGACTTTGTCTCCTGTAGGTCTGCTAGCCTGGAAAAGAAATGCTCAAGCTTGATTCCCCAACTCTAAAGCCTACTATTTCATACTACTTTTTCCTCTTTGGAAGCTTTACAGGCCCATAAAGTATGTTGGCAGCAACACAAAGATTGCTCTGATTTGAAAGCCAAGGCTTTTTTTATAAACTGGAGAGATCAGCTGCCAAGAGTTGTGACTTGCCATGGAGAGGTTTCATTAACACTGCTCCCCTATTCTCAAACTCTGAAGGCAGCCCTGTCCTCCTTCCCTTAAGGATTTGAGCCCTGAACACTGTCCACTACAAAATACATTTTAGAAAAGTGACTTGCTATGCTTTGACAAATTATATATTATGTTTTTGGGTCACAAGAGCATGCTGGGGGAATCTGCCAAGGTACCCCATCATCCTTCAAAATCAATTCCAAAAGGAATTCAGTAATTCGTTAATAGAGCAGAACTATATTTTAGAATAGAATAGAATATCTTTATTGCCATTGTGTAACTCGCAACAAAATTAACATTTTAAAGTAAATGTTTGCATTTTATCCAGGAAACTCCTCATATGATTTATATTGGGGTAAAGGTTATTGTTTTTAATCAGTCTGATTTGAAAATATTGACCCAGATTTTCCTGAAATCATTTTGTCTATTAGAAGCCTTTTTTCTGCTTTTTTTTTCCCACTTGTCCCAATCAATGAATTGTTTACATTAAAAAAAGCAAGCTGGGGGACAACATTACATTGTCATTCCTACAGTTGTGACTCTTACATTTAGAGATATTTCCAGTGAAACAAACTACATCAGACTTTAGGCATCTATCAGAAAGTTTGAACTTCACCCTCCATAATCTAATCCTCTATAAACTATGAATTATGGAAGTTGAAAATCAATGTATTTGATGTGTCCCATATTGGAAAAGACTGGGTTAAATTCTGCTGAGATGGAGAATGATGTCTCAGTCCTTGACACCCAGCCTTATAACTAGAGTAGAAATGAAAGTTTTAGAGTGTATCTGAAGTTCTACTGCAACCAAGTGGACATATTTAAAACTAATCAGAATCCATTATTATGTTGATGATATTGCCTAAACCACGATAAACTAGCTGCTTTTCTGCTCAGCCTGACAGTTCAGTGAACACTCTTTCCTAACATCAGCAAAGTTTCCAAAATGCAAAGGAAGAGTAATACAAATCCATAATATTTATTACAAACTCTCTGCTCCAAAGTACAGGTAGTCCTCAAAATATTACCTTGCCTATTACGGCCATACATCATGGTGGCCGTAAAGCAGGTCATCACGTGACCAATCCAATTTTACAACCTTTTTTGTGGCAATCATTAAATGAGCATTGTGGTCATAAAATGAACATCGCAGTTATTAAGCAAACCCTTTGTTCAGTATTGGGCACTTTTGGCAAAAATTGGAAGTAAATGCCAAGTAAATTTGGCAAAACCATCATAAATCACAGTCACATGACGCCAGAATGCTGCAAATGGCTGTAAATGCTGGCCAGTTGCCGAGTACTTGAAACTTGGTCATGCAACTGCAGAGGAAGTAGCTGTTGGAACTTTGGAACTGGGTTGTAAGTATATTTGGGGAGATTTGTCATAAGTTTGAAATGTTGCTAGGCAACTGGTCGTAAGTTGAGAGCTACGATATATTTATATGGTAAAACAACTGCCAAAACAACTAGACACAAAGATAGTTTTTTCCCCACGCCATCACTCTGCTGAACATAATTCCCATAGCATTGTCTCATTTCTCATCTTTTCTCATCTTCTCATATTTCCTACTATGCTCTCCTATTCCTATTGGTTTCTTATGATTTATCAATTGTTGTTTGTAACTTATGATTAATGATTGTAACTATGATCTATGACTTGCTGTTTATATGTACACTGTGGGCTTATGCACCAGAGAGAAATTCCTTGTGTATCCAATCACACTTGGCCAATAAAGAATTCTATTCTATTCTGTTCTGTTCTGTTCTGTTCTGCTCTGCTCTGCTCTGCCTGCTCTGTTTTCCTCTGTTTAACCTAGCCACCTCTGGAACATTATTCCATTATATTCCTCAACTCAGCAATAAACCACTACTAATTTGCATTCAATCTTTGCTTTATACACACCTGTCAAGAAGTATAGAAAGTTCAGCATTGATCTTCTTCTCATATATAACCAAGGAATCTAACAAATAATAGAAACGGCATTAGAAATCTTAAGATACAGCACAGTTTTCCTTGCCCAGTGCCTCCCTATGAAATAGGTTATCAAGAATGGCTAAGTATAGATCATGGTCAGCTGTTTGGAAATAGGATTTATAATCTCAAGGCAAAGGAACCTTCAGCATAAGGTGAGGAAAACTCAAACTAGGATGTGCCCTGTTTTTTAGTGAAAGCTTTCACTTTCATCTTTAATTACAGGTAGTCCTTGACTTACGACCACAACTGGGACAAGCATTTCTGTTGCTAAGTGAATCGTGCCTGATTTTATTAACTCTTTATCGTGGTTGTTCAGTGAATTACAACAGTTGTTAAGTGCATCATGGTTGCCAAACACCTGAATTTCAAACAATTATTACATTGTTAAAGGCCAAAGCCACCCTGCATGTTTAACTGATCCTTTATTTTCTGTACCCGCCTAGATACTCACGTGGGCGCCCACATGAACATCTCATCCAAGAAGAGCAATTGATGAAATAGGTGCCATGATGTCATACCACCTTTATTTATACTTGCATCCCATTGCATGCAGGATCTGAAAGGCAGAACTTGCATTGTGATATCTAAAATACAATTCATAATTTTAAATAAATTTCAGCTTGATACAGGTGCCCTACCTACCCTATTAACCTTTCCAATTATTTTTCCCCACCAGCTGTCCTATCCTCACTTTGAAAATGCCTAAACAATCTGCTAAGTTTCCTCTCACTTTCTTTGTTTAACTACAGCGCTCTGTAATTCAAAGAACTATTAATTAGTAGCCCGTGGAAACTGCAATTGACAAAAAGAAACATGATATAAGACGCCCAGAGAGAAAGCTAAGAAAAAGTTCAACACGATGTCAAGTTGTGGGGTGCATTCTCTGCCTCTTAATTAAAAGAGCGGTGGGGTGTAACATTCTTACAGTACGTGAAGCAATTCAGCAGTTTATCACACAAAAATGTAGATGTGAAGACACACAACAGTAGGGGGCAAAAGGGCACTGGATTGTTACATCCCGACAGCCAATCTGATGTAATGGTTCAGGTGCTGGGTTAGAAACCAGGGGCCTGTGAATTGTAGGCCTCCCTTAGACACGAAAGGCAGCTGGATGACTTTGGCCAAGTCACTTTGGGCAAGTCCAACCCACCTGACAAGGTTGTTGTTGAGAAAATATGCAAGCACATTCACCATCTTGACTGATTTATAAAAAAGATGGAATTTAAAAAAAGTCTAACGATAATATGTCACAACCACCTTACTTTTCAACGTGCCTTCCTTGCAAAGCAATGCTGTGGTGCTGCTTTTGTCATTCTGATTCTGTCACATATGAAATCAGCCTTGAGAGTCAAAGGGAGGCCACCCATCTTTCTCTGCATTTCATAAAGAACATCTCTATCTATAATTCAGAGGTCTCAAAAGCCATATCCTAATCTGTGAAGCTCCATCTCGACACTCTTCCTTCCCTTTCCAAATTTCTCCTTTATATAAGCGACCTTCTGTGCCTACGAAATATTTGGGAATCAATCGCCCTCTTCAAAAAAAAAAAAAAAAATGCTCTGTCCAATCACAGAATTTCCTTGATTAAAACTATCAAATGGAAATAGCAAAAACAACGTATCTTTTCTGCCATCTAATGGCCATCCAGAGATTTTTGGCCCAGACCTGTGGCCAAATTTGGCTATTGCTCAATACTTGAATTTCTTACATAAGAACTGACCTTTTCGTTAGCCCCTCAAGTAATTCCGTCAAGAAACCAAATCCCTGAGTACTAAACTACATTTATTGCAAGGTTAGAGTAAAAGAATCTTGTAAATCTGAAAGCACAAACCCTTCCCCTGCCTTTACTTTCCAGAGAACTAGGAAGGGTCCCTTCTAAGATGCTTTCTCCATCCCCATCCCTCCTTTGGATTTCTCTTATCAGACCTTTGTCTAGGTCAGGGGCTTCAAACTTGGCTCTTTTATGACTTGTGGACTTCAACTCCCAGAATTCCTCAGCCAGGCATGCTGGCTGAGGAATTCTGGGAGTTAAAGTCCACAAATCATAAAAGGGCCAAGTTTGAAGACCCCTGGTCTAGACTGTAGCTCTTTCTCCTCCTGTTTGTGTGTCTTCATCCCATTATTTCAGTTCACCATTGGCGAGAATTATATTAGTGCCATATCTCCGTGGTAAGAGACTATTCTATTTTCATCAACTCTAAGAACAGTTACCTTTACCTGGTAATCAATGTGATGTTAGTAAGGTGTGACAATAAATCACCTATTCTCCTACAGGCACTATGGACCCCGCGAAGCAATAAAATCACTGGGGGGGGATCTTTACTCCTGTTTTTCTACACCACCAACAAACAAATCTTTAAGAATCTCAACTTTCAGATATTTTCTGTCCAATTAAGACTACAATTTTTGAATTGTGAGCCATCTAGACTCTTTGCTGAGACGAGGGGGGGGGATAGAAATCAAATAAATAAATAAAATACAAGATTAGAACCATTTTATCTAAGAGTAAGCCTAACTGAACTCAGTGGGATTTCCTTTGAATAAATTTCCAAACACGTCAAATTAAAGGCATTTTGTTTAAGGATTACAACAAAATAACATGAAAAAAAATAGAATAAAAATGTTTTAACAATGGATCAATTTTCCGATGGATGCTGCTTGAAAAACTGTATGTTGAAAGACAATGTATGAAAACTTTGAAGTAAGGAAGAAATTAAATGAAACTATCTGTGCCAGAAACATAACTTTCTTTACTATAGAAAAAAGCAGTGGGCCTATGATGATAATGTCACTATAATTATTAGGAAAGCAGAAGAAATACCCACAAAACATGCTCTCAAATGTAGTGATAATCTTTGTCCATTCTTTGGGTGTTGTCATGAAATTTAAAATGGCATCACCTTTTTTTTTTTCAGATCCCTTTACCACAGCATCATGTGCTGACCTCTAAGAAAAGCAAAGCAAAAAACACCTGGCTTTGGTGTATCATACAATAATCTGCAGATTAGTTCTAACGTTATATACATCACTTTCCTCTGATGTGAGAAGAAAATAGGAGAGTGGTTTTTTTAAAAAAAATAACCTCTGAAAAATAAGCCAAGTCCACTGTAGTGTTTTGGCTTCAGCAATAATTATAGATAGTCATCTGAGGTACAAAACAGAAGTGGGCTTATTAAATTATTTATCAAACTCGGTGTGACCGTGTTACAATCTTACTTACATGTTATTGCAGACAGGCTCCCTTTTGCATTTCAAAAGAACTACCTGGGATCAGAAAGGAATAAATTAAATTTGGCCATCCTGTATCTTGTAATCCCAGATCATTACAGCAACAATCTGTTGAAGCTGTTGTCTTAAGCAGCCTCAGATTCACTTGTAGTCTTTTGATAACAGTTAATATCAGTCAGAAAGCTCTTGTTTCCAATCAGTATAGTACTGTTTCTATCAGAATAGAATTAACATCATATCAACAGGGTGGCAATCTATAGTAGGTATCAATAGAAGAGAATGTAGCTCAGGGTTGAACTATAGAGTCCTTGGTGCTCTCTCAGCTTGCTTGCTTGCTTGCTTGCAGATATTGCATTACCCAACTAGATAACACCATCAATGTGAATGAGTATGGAGATTGCCCCCTGTTTATATACAGTAGCTTGCCCTGCCAGGAGAGGTGTGATTGGCTGCTGTGACAAAGTTTGCCCATTCACATAATGAGCATCAAATCAAAACAAATCTTTATGATGATCATACACCAATGTAACATAATGGGTATAGCCCAATGTTGGTAAAGGGTATATAGTACCTCTAGACCACATTGGAATTGAGGCCTTTGAACTATGGTGCTGGAGAAGACTCCTGCGAGTCCCCTGGACTGCAAGGCAATCAAACCAGTCAGTCCTAGAGGAGATCAACTCTGACTGTTCTTTAGAAGACCAAATCCTGAAGTTGAAACTCAAGTACTTTGGCCACCTAATGAGGACTCACTGGAGAAGAGCCTAATGCTGGGAAAGATTGAGGGCAATAGAAGAAGGGGACGACAGAGAATAAGGTGGCTGGATGGAGTCACTGAAGCAGTAGGCGTGAGCTTAAATGGACTCCAGAAGATGGCAGAGGACAGGAAGGCCTGGAGGAACGTTGTCCATGGGGTCGCGATGGGTCGGACACAACTTCGCAACTAACAACAAGACCACATTGCTTGATGGCACTACCTCTTGCCCATGAAAAAATTTGCATCCCCTGAGCTGGTTTAAGTAGATTAGACAAAAATCTCACCTCTACCCGGTTTACATACCAGTCCTTTTTCATATAATCTTTTATTATTTTTAATGTGTAAATTTTAACGTTCAATGTTTTTAATGTTCTCATTGTTTTGTATTGTGTTTTAAAATTATATGATAATTAAAGTAATAAATATTATTGTAAAATTATACGATAATTAAAGTAATAAATATTATTGTAAGCTGCCCAGAATAGCTTGAGATGGGTGGTGTTGAGTCCTTGGCGAAAAGCAGACACGAGAAGCAGTTGTAGTTCTCAGGTTTCCTTTTATTCTGTGTTCAGCTTACAGGTGAAGGCTTCAGCAACGCCCAAAAGCTCCCAGCCTCTTATATAGGCAATTCCCGGGTCAATGTGTTACTTTTCCCGTGCCAGCACCCGCGCATGCGCACAGGCGCTGGCGACAGCCTGTCTGGTCCCGGGCAGCTTGCACCTGCCCGGGACTGCCTGCAAACGCCCCGAGCCCGTTTGCAAGGCTCGGGACATAACACCCCTTTCCCCCGGGCTAAGACTACTACCAACATACAATTATTTCTTGATGCAGTGTTCTACTCCCCAGTGCTCCTACTGTTTACTGGCTTTTGTTTGGCCAGCAATGTTATGTAATCCTCTAAGTATTTAGGAGATTTCCTTGCTCTCTGTGACCTTCTCAGCTCTGGGTTTCTGACAGGTGTTCCCTGACTGAGGGGAGACATGAGCCTGTTCTCCTTATCATGCCTTGGTGCCTTCCAAGGACTGTGCCCCAATGCCTGGCCTGCTTGCTCGCCCACCGGGCTCGTCAGGCCAGGGCTTCTGTCACTTTGTGACCTGGTTGACCTGCCTAGCTGTAGGCCCTCGGGCCCCTTGAAGTGATAGCCACTGCTGGGCGTCTCTGTAGAACCTCCTAGGTCCGTCCAAGACCTGTCAGGAGGCTGTCCATTCCCTAAACCCCGTTCTGTGTCCGGGCTCGTGTGGGTTTCTGTACCTTCCCAAAACTCAGTTACTCCCTGATTTGGGCTAGAGGTGTTGCGGTCGGGACTTGGTTCCTCGACCACCTCCCTGTATGTTTGACCCCCTGTAGGACTTGGGGTAAGGTCAGGCCAACTCTGGGGATTATGTGCCAGCTCTCTTGCGGGGTATGATTTATTGGGATGCTCCCGGGTATCCTCCCTGACTGGAGTACTGTGCTGTGCAGGTGAATAGTGATTGTACCCCCGGGGTGACTCCCTGGCTGGAGTAGGCGTGAATGCCTGGTAGTTGGATAGGCTCTTAGAATTCCTGTTTGGGGCAC